CCTCCTCCTGGACGGCGGCAGCGGCGGCGCGAGGAGCCGGCGGATAGCGGCGAGATGGGGCCGCTCCGGGACACCAAGGTAAGCAGGGCGCGGCGTGCGGGCGCGGGTGGCAGTGGACCCTGCGGGGCAGGGAGCGGCCCAGGTGAGCGCGGGAGGGGGGCGTGCAGAGTCGGGGTACAGGGGCAGAGGAAGTGGAGGGGACGAGGGGGTCACAAGGGCATTTGCTTAGGTGATGAGACCCCAGGAGAGGAAAGGTGGTTCCTGAGGAGGAGATGTGGGCGGTTGACAGGAGAGTTCACAAAATTGACTTCGAAGGTCAATCCGACGTCCGGAAACTGGGGGTTTAGGGTGCAGCTTTCAGCTGATGTCTTGTGTGTGATGTGAATTAAAGGAATCTGGTGTATTTGTGATTGAGAAGTAAGGACTTCAGCGTGTCAGCAACCCCGCATTGGTTCGGGGTTTGCGGTATGAGCAGAGCGGGTGACGTGTGATACCTGCTGGGTGACCGATGAGCAGGGCAAACCCGAGGCTGGGTGCGGCTCGCGGCCCTGGGTACGGTGGATGCCTGGGCGACCTCAGCAGCTCCCCGCGGCCGGGGTCCTCCCTTCGTTCCTGCGCTGTGCCCGTGCGGACCTCCCAGAGGTGCGCGCTTTGGCTGTGACCCTTCCTGGTAAGCCCGTGGAAATGAGCAGGAGGTCATGTTGCGACATGGTGTTTGTTACCTAATCCAAGGCTCTTTTTTCAGTTGCGGAGGTTGTAGGGAGCAGTGGAAGTTTTGCAAAAAGCTCCTCCTAGGAATCCATTTTAATAAGGCAGGGTGGTGGTGACCCCGAACAGCACTGGATTTCAAGCTCCTTCTGCTTCTAGAGGATGCACAGTCTTGGCTAAGCATCTTTACCTCTTTTAACCTCAGTTTCCTCGTCTATAAACAAGAACATGAATTAGTGTGCCCTCTATGTTACAGCCTGAGGTGTAAAAATCAAATGAGCTGAAAGCACGTTATAAATTGAAAAGCAGTGTGAAAATACACTTTTTATGTATTTTCTTAAGCAAGGCGTGGCAAGGTATTTAACGCTGTGTTTTTAAGGAGAGAGAGAAAAAAATCTCTCTTCTTTTAGGTGTCCTGTAAGGAAAACAAAAGCTAAACATGATGTAAAAGGTGGAGCCATCTTCCCGGGTATTGGATTTGTTTGCTTTTCTGTTGGCAACAAGCCTTGTGTACCAGGATATTAATGAATAATTAAGATCCTGTCCAGAAGAGGAGGGATTTTAAAGATAAGTGTGTGTGATCCATCAGGAAAGGATTGTTTCAGGTATGGGGGTCTACTTTGTGAGGAATCAGGAAAACAGAAGGCAAATTGTCAGCTAATTCAGGGAAAGTAAAATGGAAGTCTAAAGGAAATCAAGTAATATGCCGGAGTGTGCTGTAATAAAGAGCCTTTGAGAGCCGAAAACTTGAATGTGATAGAAAAAGCCAGAGTGGGAAGGTGAGTCAGGAATCGCATGGCGGAGGAATGGGATGGCTTCCTGCTGGTGGTGGGGAGGGGGGGCGTGCTCGGTAGATTAGAAGGATTAGCTCAGTGAAAGAGTTTTGGAGCTCATTTTAGCAACTGAGATAAGAAGGACTACTCTGACTGTGAAGTTTCAATATTCAGAAAGGTGATTTCTTAGAAAACTTAGAAACTGAGCCTTTAAGAAGCAGACAAGAGTTAAGAAGGGAAAACAATTTTCCTTTTGTGTTTTTGTTTGTTTGTTTTTGTGGGTTTTTTTTTTTTTTTTTTTTTTTTTTTTTTTTTTTTTTTTTTTTT